TTAGGCTGGTTCGCCTCCAATGCAATACAAGCACTTTTTTGCCAAACTTGTCAATTTTAATGGATTTCTTCTCATGAGGTACCTCCTCCCCAACAATTACATTAAAAAATTGTGACCTGGGTAGTGTGGTTGTGTCCAGTTTGCAATAAGTCTTATCATCCGTTTGATTTGCTTCCTCAAAATTGTATCAAGCTTCCGGCATAGCTCTTTAGCTCGTTTGTGCTGTTCCGCGCTCCGTTTAGGCGCTTTCTGTTTCCTATAAGCCTTGATATCCTTCCTCCTTTTTATGTTTTGGACGGTTCCGACGGATATTCCCAGTTTTTTTTGGCAATCTTACGTACAGAGTTAGATTATTCATACAAAAAAGCTCAACACATTTCTTCTCTATCTGTAGGTTTGCAGCACCGCTTCTGGTTCTGGATCTTGGCAAATCTGCAACGGTTTGGTGCTCTCCAAACTTTCTGATGATTTGATGTACAGCAGACTTCGATCTTTTCACAATTTTCGCAATATCTCTACAAGATAGTCGCTCTGAGCAATATTTTTGAATAATGAAAACTCTGGTTTCTTCATCAATTCGTCCCATGTTCCGAAATCAAACTGTTTTGACAAAAACAAAAAACATCTATGTTTTGTCAACAAACCTTTGTACACGGTGAAAATAAATTCGTCAAATTGGGGTAAAACGTTAGCTTTCTATCGTCACATGTAGATGTCCGTTTTATAAAGGACCTAAGGACGTATATAATGTTAATGGTTTAGGTATACATAACAGAAGGGCATATAGAATTATGATGCGATACGTTGACTTCCCAAATCGTTGTTGATTCGAAAGAAGATCTCAATTTAAATTTTATTCATACCTAATTCTTTATGGATAATTTGAGCTAAGAATTCTAAGTTGCTATAGGAGTATCGGATTTTGCCTCAGTAGCAGACAAAATAATCAAATTTATTATTTTCTAATGATATAAGCCCTTTCATATGGAATTCTCGATTAATTCAAGTGATTAGTTGCTGATTAGACAAAATTGAATCACAAATGGAGCTTCATTGGGTTCTGAGATGATTATGAGCTTCACTGGTTTAGTTTTGTGTAAAAATGATACGTTAAAAAAAATCAGTTCAGACATGAAAAAGTTTTTGTAAGAAAAACTTTTTTTCCTTAAAAGTGCCCATCTCGCAATGTATGTACGGATGGTAGTAAACATAATTACCTATCTTGAGTCAAATTTTCATCCAAATCAAACATGGCCATTTTTTTTAAATCGACTTTAAATTTTTTTCAGTGTAGGTCTCAAGTGAAATTTTTTTCACTATTTGTTTTCGATAATTTGGTTAATTTCCTAAAAGTCATCCATACAACATATTTTTGTTGGAGTTGTCATTTTTCCATAATATTTTTTTGAAAAAAATCGGCAGAAAAAGTTTGGCCCTTCTCAAATGTTAGTCTAGATAAATTTTGGAAAAACTGAGTATGCTTCTTCTTCTTCGCATCTCAAACTTTTTGCATATCGCATATTAGCTTATTGCGTGCTCTCAACTTAGTGTTTTAGATGCACTTCCACAGTTATTAATTGAGAGTTTTCGATGCCTGTATCATTTTTGCATTGGTATAATTGTGTGGCAAGTCCAATCATACTTCCATGCCCAGGGAAGTCGAGAAATTTTCCAACCCGAAAAATTCCTAGACCGGACCGGGAATCGAACCCAGCCACCTCCAGCATGGTCTTGCTTTGTAGCCGCGCCTTTACCGACTGAGCTAAGGGAGGTCCTGAGTATGCAAAAGTGCTTATTTAGTCAAAGTTTACACATCCAGAAAATTTTATTGAAATCTGAGGGGGTGCTGCCAGCTTCGATTCGATTTGGCGCGAAATGCGTGAGTAATAACATTTCTGACAAGAAATGGTTTAATTTACACCAAATTGAGGAATTAGAACGAAATCACACATGTCAAATGATAGTTATTTGATAATTTTATTTTTACTCGAATGTTGTTCTGCCGTTTTTATTGTGTAAGCGAGACGGCGGTAGAGCGCTTTAGTGTGATAATTTATTAGCTAGAGAATGATCTTTAGAAGAGGGTAGGTAGATAGTTCCGTTAGAGTACGGCAGTATGAAAATTGAAAAGAAGTTGAAAATGAGCGAAGGGCCATTAATGCGACAGTACAAAGTCAAACGCACACCTTTTGCTTAACCCGTACGATGTACGCGGACATTTGAAGTATGTCTTCAAATCTACAGGCAAAAAGTGTGCTCCCGCCTTTGCTCATTACCAAGGTTGCAAAGACTCATTTCAGCTAAAATAATGTTTTTCGGAATAATAAAACCAAAAGATGGTATGATGGCATGTTTTACTTGTAACTTACAAGAAGAGGTTACAAAGTATGCGTTGGAAACATAAAACCTGTAAATTTTGCTTTCTATGAGTCACAATCAGCGATTTGCTGATCGCTGAGTGAGTGAGTGAGTGAGTGAGTGAGTTTGTGAAAAATCGCTGATTGTGACTCTCATGAAGTGAAATAAACAGGTTTAATATGCCAAATACATTCTTTGCAACCTCTTCTTGTATCCTACCAATTCAAAATTTGATCATGGCATCTAATTATTTCATAATTTAGAAAAACATTGTTTTAGCTGAAATGAGTCTTTGCAACCTTGCTCATTACTGTCTGCGGCTACAGTTCTACACGGAACCGAAAATTTACCCAAAATTAAGTTCTTTTCACTCATGTCCCATGTTCCGTTCAATAAGCTAATTTTAAGTAATCCGCTTATAGTAGTTTACATGTGACTACGGCAAAAATAACTACTTCCTGGTGAGTATTTTCTACCCAAAATTAAGTTCAATTGACTCAAATTTAAGAATATCTCATATACTCACTAGTAGCTTATTGAACGATAGTCATGAGAAAGTCGAATCTCTCGTTCCATTTTTGACAACAACAAAAAGTGAGAGTGAGATGCAAAACTCAAAAGCACCCAAAATTCAGTAAAAAGAACTTAAAATTAGGGTATTTTTTTTTTCTCTGTGTAGCGACGTTTCATCACTACCTAAAGCCCCACGTCGCCGAAAGCATTTCCAGTCGATGGTGTGTTATAATGCAATTCAGTGCCAACATTTCAAAGGGGCGTAATTGCTTTTGTAAACAAAGGCTTTAGCCGTCGATTTCTCGCAAATAAAAGCTCACTCCTCCAAATTAACAATGCTAGCTGGAAGAAGAAACATTCATCTACCTGTTGGTGCAATCAATTTTCATGAGTGAGCTTTTATTTGCGAGAAATCAACGGCTAAAGCCATTGTTTACAAATGCAATTACGCCCCTTTGAAATGTTGGCACTGAATTCTTCTTTACCCAACTATTGTGTTGTTTCTCTCGTTATGACCAACGTGGTCATCTCAAAGAGAAAGCAGTAGGGTGGTTGTTGCGTGCTGTACCATCATCAGCATTGTTGACGGCTACTCCCACCTTGAGTTGTTACATTCAAAGTGTTTTTATGTTACTTCATACGCGAAGTTTGCGATTTTCAGAGTTGGTTGGAAATGCTATCTAACATGAAACTTTAGTGTGATAATTTATTAGCTAGAGAATCACATGCTCCGAGATGTGTATAATTGAAACTTCGAAGTGGAAGTGCGTTTATAGCCTACGTGGCGGCCATTTGTGGACTGTACAAGGAATCACCTTAACTTTCCTACAGGGTTGGGAAATTTCGATTCATATACTGTCAAATTTCGGTCGTTGGGCTATGTTCAAGTGGGCTACGTTTTAGTTGGGCTGTAGCCCACCTAAATCGAAGTCAAACATCATTTCTGACAGTGCTGATTCCTTTTCGAGGCGGTCATGGATGAACAATTCTGGATCAACAATAGAAAAGGTCCCATCAGCATTTGTGAATCAGCAGTGAAGACCACTCACGCAAACCAACACCATCATCGGATAGGGGAAACTTCACCTACACGATGATAGTGTTTGTTTGTGTGGGCGGCCTTCGATTTGTGAGAAAAGGGCTTTGGAACGGTTTGTTTACAAATGCTGATGGGCCCTTTTCTATTGTTGATCCAGAATTTGGATATTTCTAGATAGAGCTGGAATTTGGGCGTAACAGCTTTTGTAAACAATGACTTCTCCCGATGATTTCTCGGAAACCATGGCTCTCCATGGCAAATCGACATCACCATCGAGTAGAGGAAGACTTCTCCTATCCGATAGATATGTTGGTTTGTGTAGACATGCCTTGAATTCCTAGAAATCAACGAGAGAAGTCATTGTTTACAAAGGCTGTTACGCCTTAATTCCAGCTCTATCTAGATGTGTTCTCCTCAACCAATTTTCTGCTTGACAGCTCAGCACAGGAGCCTCATAACCTAGTCAGTAAAGGCACGGTATTACCAAGCCGGAGGCGGCGGGTTCGATTCCCGGTCCGGTCGAGGGAATCTTTGTGCTTGCCACACAATATCCAAATTCATGCATTGGTATTGGCATCGAAAGCTCTCAATTAATAACTGTGGAAGTGCATTTAGAACACTAAGTTGAGAGCACGCAATAAGCTAATATGCACAAAGCAATAAGCTTGATATGCGAACAAGAAGAAGAAGAAGAAGCTCAGCACAACTAACGAAAGCCTTTCACTGAGTGAACTACGGTTTTAGCCCAACGAGCGAAAGTTGGCTGTAATGGGACTCTGTTTGCCACCATGTCCCATTTGAAATTGGGATTACCAATGGCAGTAGTCTGTATGTAGAATCCATACTTCAGTTTGTTTGATATTGGTTTGGTCCTGTTGTGATCTGGTTGTAGTTAGTTGCGCGGTTGTCTGTGAGTTTAGTTTAGTTGCCATTCGGAATCCCGGTACAAGTTTGACCCGAAAGTTTTTGTTTTCGCTGACCCTTATGTACGTACGATTGCCTGATTTTCAGAAAACTAATTTCCTTATTTTCCGCTTTCCGCCTTTTGTTTTCTTTCCCCTGTCAATCTTGCCCAAATCCCGTATAACAGAGGAAAGCAAAAACCAGGAGCAGACCGGCCAGCCCGGCCACCAGGACAAAATCTTCTCCAACGATGAACTGTCCGCGCTGATCGATCCCATTCTCAGCTCGGACGATCACAACCAGGACGGGTTCATCGACTATCCGGAGTTTGTGCGGGCGCAGCACAAAGCCGCCACACAGGAACAAGCGCCTCAGCAATAGGTCCGCCCGCCAGGCTCGGTGAATTCGCATCGTACAACAACCCCGTCCCCCTCTTACTGCTAGAATCGTTTCTGCTTTCCTTAAAACCTAACATTCAACCAACCAATCAACCAACCAACAAACCAACCGAGACCGAGCCATATAAGATTGTAGCATTTCGTTTTTTTTTTTCGTTGGTGTTTGAGTTTGAGTCCAGTATTTCTCGAATATTTTGAACATTCCGCGACTTGGGAATCGCACAAAATCCGCTGACTCCAGCCCCAAGGACTGACTGAGTTGAAAACAATCTCGTAATAGGAGTAAATCTCATTGCTTTATGTGTTTCCGTTCCAAGCAAGTTCGTTTCGTTTCCGTTTACTGACGAAGCCGGTGACATACAAAAACAAAACGTAGTATTTTATAGTGATTAAAAAAAACTGAGGAACTGTACTAGGTACGCGACAATTATAAAACAAAAACAAATCGTATGAGAGTATTTGACTTTTGTGAGGACTGTATTTTTGTAATAAAATAAATAAGTGATAATATGCAATTTTGTGAGGTGAATCATTGAATCGTAGAAATTACAAATACAAAAACTGAGTTACGTGAATTGCGTATGAAAGCTAGAGTAGATTTGTTTTTGTTTGGATGACAATTAGTTTAGGAAGCAAAACGTTTCGTTAAAGCACTAGCCGTCTCATTCCATTTTCCAGTTGCATATAATTTTACTTATCAAACTTCTTCCGGCAATCTGTTTCTGCGTTCGTTGGTTTGCTTTATGGCTGTTTTCGCTTTATATGCATTCCTTCTGCTGGCTTTATTACGTCCCCGCTGGGACTTTACGCCGACTCTCAACTTATAAACTTAGCGTCCTTTGAGTACTTCCACGGTTTTTGATTGAGAGCTTTCCAAGCGGCTACCAGTTGAAAAAAATCCAACCAGAAAAATTCCTAGACCAACCCGGGAATCGAACACAGTCGCCTACAGTAAGGTCTGGCATGGCATATTAGAAGATAGTGATGCTTTAAAATTATATACAAGTAGTTCGGAGATGAGTGTGAACAATTTTAGAAGCCGATTCATCAATGTTCGGTAACCCGCTTCTAGCTCACGACAAAATTCGAAGTTCCCGAAAGTCAATTTTTGATCTCGACGTTTAATAGATTTTTAAGGCATTTGGCATCCAAACGAAAATTCGAAAAGACGGATGATTTTCCGATTTAAAAGGAAACTATGACGGTTTTGTGCCACCCCTAAATCATTTGTCCGATTGAGCCAATTTTTTTTTTCTTTCCTTTATTTAACGTCGGTCTCTGTTCCGCAATCTAGTGCAAATCACCGACGGACATCGATTGCCATCCATTGACGGCAATCGAATGTGCAGGAATGCAGCTTCCACACCTGCGTAGGATATCGCACCCATTCAACACGCACATGGGCCGGGACCAACGGCTTTACTTCCATTCCGAAGGAAGACGTGACCAGAGATTTTATATGCCTCAGAAAAATCCCACCGACCTCGGCTGGGATTGAACCCAGACCCATCAGGGTGTTAGAAAGCAGTCACGCTTACCACTACACCACCGGCGCCGGCCGAGCCAAAATTTTGCCAAGGGTCTTTTTTTTTCTGGAAAATAAACGTTTTGCACATGGTCGGTTTTGGAAATTCGAGGGTCACTTTTTCCCCATACATTCATTGGCACCCGAAGCTACACCTTTTCCAACTGAGCTAAGCGATAAAACAGCCTAATACCAACCGGTGAAAACTAAAGATTTTAAATTGGCTCACTACTTGACTAGCCTATTGGTCCCAAGTACATCTATAAGCATACCCCATTCTAGTCAAAATTCTAGCACTACACTATATAATGAGGGGTTCGTTGATTAGCTTGGGACCGAAGATAATACCAGAGCTGAGCCAAAAAGTTGAGCACGTTTCTTTGGGACCTTCTGGTCTTAGAGTTACCTCTATGCTAATACACACACAATGGTCCAGAATGGGAATTTACCCAGGAAAGATGTATTTTTGAGTCTGCAATTGAAATAATAGAAAAAGTGTCTTCTACAAAGTTGTTCCTTCAAGGGACAATCAACTCTGCACACTGTCCCGAAACACAGCATGGACACATTAATAGTACGTTCAGACTACAGAGTTATAACATGTTATAGCGCTATCTTGATAGTGGTTTCTGTGTTGCAATTATTTGACAACCGTTATAACATGTTATAACTCTCCAGTCTGGACAGCGTTTAAGGCACACTTTGATAAGTAGGACACAAACAATATAATATAAAACGGCATCACTGTTGAGTGTTGACATTTTGCCAATCGTTGCTAAGGTTTACTTTACAACCTAGGATCATAAAACTGGTGATACAAGAATTCAATCAAGAATTTAAAAACAACAAACGTGTACCCACCGGTGTTGAGGACAGGCTTCCAAAAAGTACAGCCTCCTCGCGACAGTTGGTTTATACCTGAATTGACTGTTGCTTTGTGTGCTTTACTACCGCTTGCTACCGTACACTCCAAAAAATCTTCACGTTGATGCTACGTGAAAAATCACGTAATCCCTTAAACACCCCACTTCAATCATTTTCACGTGCCGCAGATCAATGTCAAATGGAATTTTGATGAAATTTACGTGCTTTTCATGTCGGTTGATACTACGGGAATTTCACGTAAAAAGAATGTGATAAGCATGTTAACTCTACAAAGTATACACGTTCAACCTACGTGATAAATCAAGTAGCCATTTCGATTACTTCAACTTCCATTTTTACATGATGGTAGTGAAATTGACAAACATATCATGTAATGTTCACTGGAGCTGATGATGAAAGTGCTTACGTGAAATGGGTTTACGTGATTTACATGTATGAAAAAGTTATTCAATATGGCGTCGACTTCATTAGAGGAAGAGTTGCTCTCAGTTTTGGATTTCCTAACACTAACACTGCATAAACTAGAAGGTGTTTTTATACTATTTTACATCATTCGAAGACCGCGCAAATAATTGAATTTAGCTAGATTTCAGAGGCTGGAATCAATATCATAACTCTGAATAAGACAGCACAAACAGATATTGCATCAGAATGGTCCTGATCAAAGATTTGAGGCAACGAAATGTTCATTGTTAATTTTTGAATAGCAATAGAGAAATGATTGACGTTTAATTAAAAAAAATCTAAAAATGTTTAAATATTATTTCCTTGGTATTTTTAGATCCTGTAAACGTTGCTTCAAGATCACGTAAACATTCCATGAAAATCCATTTCAATATTAGTAAAAATCACGGAACGTAAACGTAATATGAACAATAAATGTCAGTAAATATTATTTAAAAACCACGTAAACATTGCGTGAAAATCTATTCCAAGTTAAGTGGAAATCACGTAAAATTTACCTTACTGTTCACGTTGACCACTAAATGGGAATATTTTTGGCTACATGACATTAACGTAAATGTTACGTGAAAAGTAGTATGGACGAAAGCTACCTATGTTTTCACGTAGATCGGACGTGCATATTTTTTGGAGTGTACGTTCAGATCTGAATTCGAAGTGTATTGGCAACAGCGCATGCACCAACGAATGAAAGCTGTATTAGAACAGTCGCATCTATACCCGCTTTGCTAAAATCATCGTGCTTGGAACGTAGTGAACCGAATGGGCTGTATTTATAAATTCCTTTATGACCAGGTTCTCAATGTTTCTGTCGTCATAACAGCCTTCACAAACCGACGACATCCCTCAGCTTACCCAAGTGGCTGTCACGAAAAGGCTGTCACGAGACATTATATACAATTGATATACGGCAGTAGAGTATGGAAGAAACCCAGAAGAATGATCCCGAACAGATATGTCGGCCCGATGTCGGATCAATGTAAGGTCAATTTACGGTCGACGTCGGCCAAATGTCGGGTCGATGTCGGGTCAATTATGTGTTTATGTCGGGTCAATGTCGGGCCAACATCGGGTTGGGGTTTGGTAGAAGTCAGGTTGGTGTCGGGTAGGCTTATATTTTTCACCGGAGACCGTGCGTTTTTAAAAAAATATCGGATGAAAATTTTGCAATGGGCAGCACGAACGTGATAGCAACCGAACGAGCTCCGGCGCCACACTGGTAGTGTAGTAGCAGTCTTACGACATACAAACAAAATTTCAAAGCCAGTAGCAACGAATCAGCAGTTTGACGGACTGCTTGTTGTATGTACGAGGAACGTTACGAATGACCATCCGAGGCTGTCATAGCCGAACGAACAAAATACATGACTAAGAACGAGCTGTCGTGTACTGCACAAGACGGCAACGTTGCATGTCGTATAACAGCCTCACTGTGGGCTGTCGCTTATAGCTCAATCTCAAGGCTGTCGTAGGAAAAAGAAAGCGACAGCCGTTGGAATACTGTCATGAAGCGGTACTTTTAGTATGCCTGGTTGAGGATCTTTCGAAAAATTCTGTAAGTATTGTCTGAATCGTGAATCTCTTCAAACCTAGCAAAACTAAGTCCGTCTCTTCCTAATCGCAGCACAAATTTCAGCGGATCGTGTTTTGACGTAGGACTACGTCTGTGATTTCTATATGGGGGTACACTTTGTGAAAACCGAAAATGGAACATGTAACAAAGTTATGAAAGATTTTGAACGTTAATAACTCAGCTGCCCCTGGACCAATTTCAATAATTTTATCACCAATCGATCAGAAATATTTCGACGCATCCGTTAAATTTAAGACTTTATCATTTTTCAAAATTTCACTATTGAAGATTACACGAATGAAAATTATCGCCGATTGCCTGCGAAAAGCGATTTCCCTAACACAGATTTCAAAGTTGAATTCCATCCGGTCTGACCAAACGGTGTTTATTCAATCACCGCGTGGTGAGTGGTGGTGTTCTCCAGTACACAACGAAAGGCTGCCTGCAAGCAGCGAGCTGCAGCCGACATGAGCATCCATAGAAGGAGGAAGAAGCCGCACAGCTATTGATCGGAATCAGTAGCTCTTCGTGAGTCATTATGGGCCATCTATGTCAAGCGCGTCATACTAAAGAGTATAAACAGAGAGAACCACGCTCAAATTACAATTCCTACACAAAACACAAGCTCCTGCTACAGTTAACAAATAAGATTTATTATATAAGTCCACGTAGTCCTACGTCACCATTGCGTACAACCCCGTAGGGCTGTCCCTTGTAGTTTTTATCTAGAACAGCTTCTATTTGGGCCTCACTTCAGTCGAGTTCATCTACACCATGGCCGGTTCTTGTCGGTACGGCAGTCAAGACGACTGACATGGGTTACCTCTAAAGACGATTCGATTTCGATGATGGAATAATTGTGAAAAATGCTCGACGGTTGCCTGTGGTGATAAATTCGAAAGGCTACACCAACAATTTCATCAATATTAAGCAAATTGATCCCAACAATACGACGGGGATGGTGGAACACCTACGCTATGCTGTTATTCGTACGAAAAGAACTACGACAGAACTATGAGCATCAAGCTTGAAGAATCCTCACATTTCCTCGATGAACTTCGTGAAATATCGCAAACTTTCCCAACGCTGCTCACATTCTCACCCACATGGTCACCCATGGAGGCGTTATTCCAGAA